TGCTTTGCTCCTATGTCTGTGTACTGGTTTCAGCTGAAATGCGGAATGGCTTTTTCCGTTCTCCGGCAGTCGGAGCCCGTGATCGTGTGTGCAGTGCCCAGCGGGCGAGATGGTCGAGCAGGTTCTTTTCATGTGCACTTAATACATCTACCTTCGCCGTCAAATCTTCAGTGCCTCCAGTGAATCCGACCTTCCATACGTAAGTCTGGACCACCTACAATTTCACTGTGCTCACCTCAAGACCCTCCTGCAGGCGTTTTCTGAGCGTCTCTAATTTTGACGACGCCAGTCTATTTACAGGCCTCTATTAGGGAAGCCGTCACCGGAGTTTACTTTTCTGTGGAGACGAACTCTTCACTTGACGTGCACCCATTACGTGATGTTTTTTTTTCCTATCTCACCTCTCTCTGCCGGCCTCTCTGGAGGCTTTTCCCTGCTCGGATGCCACGCTCGGGGGCGCTTGATTGTAGTAGAGCCGAATCTACTCCTCATATCTTCCTCTCACTCCTCTTTTTTTTCACATTCCAGAGTTTTCCTTTCCTCCCCTTGCCATTCTCGTGTGGCGTTCTTGAGGTCACCACTACCAAGAGAGACAGTCACGGTGTGGCACTTATTTCGATGAAGGCAAAAAAGCTGCAGGCCCGTGTGCTCAGATTTGGGTTCACGTTGAAAGACCCCAGCGAATCAAAATTTCCGGATCCTTCTATTTCGGCATCTCTCAGAATCATTTGGTGGTATTGAGGCGTTAAACCCCATAAATCATGCCGCTCTTATTTCTTATTTTTACTTTTATTCTCAAAAGAACTCCGTCGTTCGTGCTATATCAATATCTCAATGACTGACGCCCATAGTGAAGAATAAATTGTTGTGGTACTTTATTTCACACGGAGATTGCACGTGCAAGCACTTACAAAAGTCATTTTCGTGGCAAGAGCAAAGCAACGCATATCATAACTACAAAGTGAAACATGATGCAAAAAAGTCACAGTTTCGCCGAAAAGGCAGAGCAAGGAACGCGATAGCAACGAATCGGAAGGCCACGTGCAGAATGGCAAGCAGGCTGAAACGTGCCCCGCGCTTCTCCAGCCTAAATGACGCAGGAAATGTGCTCACAGATACAGAATTACGAGAAGCTGTTACTTTGCTTCGTTTGCAAAGCACGCTCCTTTCACAAACGAGGCCTACGCAACAATTGTCCTTTGTGTGCTCAGTAACTACAAGAAAATTGTTCCTAAAAGCCCAAGGTCAGCCAAGACCTACGATCCCCACCACCACAAAATAAGCCCCTCCTCTCCGAGGCGCAAAGTACGCGTGGTATATCAGAGCGTGCGCCGCCGCGTCGCGACGATCTGACGACGCTCGCTCATTGCGCCCTTTTGCTGGCGATGCTGAAAACCCGATAGTTCTCCCCGAGATTCCCGACAGCAGCGATAAGTGCTGAATATAGATAGCTTGCCGTTCCAACGTTCAAGAAGGTGCTCCCCCGTGCCTCAGTGGTTATGCGTCCCACTCACGAGTCAGAGGTCCCAACTTCAATTCCGCGCGCTGTAGTCTTTTTCTGGATTATTAGGGGCAAAGCTCTTTATTGCGGCACCCGTTCGTCTCTCGTAGCCGTTTTAATTGTGTGTAACAAGTATAACAATTTGACCTCCAAGGTGGTACCGGTAGGAGATTTCTTATGTGCGTTATTGAACAATAACAGATAGTGCTCAATGTACATGCCAATGGCTGCTAAAAGGGAATGAGAGATAGGAGAATTGGGCTTTTTAGTGAACGCGCGCGCTGTGAATTTTTTATTGTTCAACAACGCACAAAAGACAAGAAAGGGTTGCTACATTATACTCGCTCGGCGTAACCTCCTAGGTTTTTAGAAAGGTTTAGCGAGAGTTGGGCCACAGTGCCATAAATACAGTGAACTAGTATATACCATGAACTCTAGGTGGCTAAAGGTGGGAAGTAGACACGAAGCTCAAGCCGTAAGAAAGTGTGCGTGTGCTTCCTCTCGTTCAGTCCATGGAATGTCCGCTCGATGGTGGTGCTTCTATATGAGGAATATAAGATGAAAAGATCCGAGATGATGGTACTTGGAGTGTTGAATAGGTGGATGAACGGACACACAGACAGATGCATGGACGTACGCACGGATAACTGCACGGACGGATGGACGCATGAATGGACGCAGGAACGGATTCATGGACGAAATCAGGGACTAACGCACAGATGAACGTGCGGACGCACGAACAGACGCACGCACGGACGGGCGGATGAACGCACGGGCGGTCACACAGACGGACGCATGGACGGACAGAAGCAAGAACGAATGAACGGACGGATGCTTCGCCCCACTCTTCAACATTCACTCCGTGGATATGCTGCCATTTTTTTTTTCTTTCTTGCGTTTACATTAATACAGATACATTGAGCAACGTCGACGCTGATGTCGACGACGACATCGACGCCAGCTGCCAAATCCACCCGAGATGCTTTATTTATTGCTATCGGAAAGAATCTTATACCAGTTATACTCCGTAGTTTCCCGCCACCTCTTTAGGCATGTGTAAAATGTAGTGAACATGCCGGATCCCTCTTACATCACAACTTGAACATGCCGGATCCCTCTTACATTACAACCTGAATTCTTTTTGTGCCTGATCTTCATTACGTTGTAGGTAATTTAAATCACAGTCAACAAACAGGCAAATACATGTAGGAGTGGCTGGAATCGCGGCTTCAATATTGACATTGAGGGCCTCTTTTATTTCTCGCCGCAATTACACGGGATTTCCTCTGCTAATGATTTCATCACAAAAAAAAGAATGATGAAGTTGCCTTCCCCAACGCATGTGGGATGACAGTGGAATCATTCCTAAAACGTTTGTATTTTTATAAAAGCAATACGCATGTAGAATTTTGCGATGCCTCGGATATGCAAGAACAGGCGTGCGCGTTGGTTTTAATGTAGCTCCCATTCTCGGAAGATTTGTCTTGGAAGCTTTGACACAGAGCTGGAGAAGGGTTTACCAGGAAAAACACACAATGTCTACGATTATGTCAATGATTACGTAGGTTTGGATGGCTATGAAGATAAAGGGACATTCAAGAATAGCGTGGCCAAAGCCGTCAAATCTCATGAAAAAGGGTTCACCTGCACGTCCGAAGTTCCTGAACAATGATGGTTTCAGTTTAATAAGGTAAAGATAGAATTTATACTGGAACACGTGCGCTGGCGTTGGTCGACCAGAGTGTGAAAACAGCTTTAAAACTTCGCCTCCTAAGAATACCAGATTATGAAGAATGGCATTGGCACGTATTGTTTTTCATCTGCGCTGAACAACCATGTGTTCATGCCGTAACACTGCGTTCTTAAACAAGTTGATCGGTTGAATGAGGCCAGGTACCCGCTCAGCATAATGAAGGCCTCATGCGCTAGGCAATTGAAACAACGTTACAGTTTCGCCGCAAGGGTGAAGCAACGAATGCGACAGCAAAAACTTGAAAAAAGCGCTGAAAACACCTAGCATATCGAAACGTGCAACACGCTGCTGACGCACAAATCACGCACAAGAACAACACACACATCACGAGAGTCAACTAACCCCATTTACAGCCCGAGACTTAACGCGCTCTTTAAACTAAAAGCACGCACAAAACGTGATAACGGGTATTGATAAGAGTGCGAACTCACAAGTGTCCTACTCATTATTTCGCTGTGTTCGAAAAACGCGCCCTTTTCGCAAACTGGGCCTGTTCATCGAGCGAAGGGATCTTTGTGCGCCCGACAAGAAAACGCAGTTGTTCCGGTCAAAGCCCAAGGCACGCAATTGTCCCTCACCACAGGATACGTGCGCTCATTATGAGTCCCCTTCCCTCCGCGGAGCAAAGCACGCGTGGGAGCTGAGCGCGCATCGCCACATCGCAGCGAGCTGGGCACCGACCTTTATGCCGAGTGCACTCCTCGCACCATCTTGCTGGTAATGCTGAAAACACACTATTTCCTCGGTGGTGAATAAAAATAGTTTGCCATTTCAGCGATGGAGAAGGTGGTCTTTCCTGCCTCAGTGGCTAACGCCCCGCACTCACGAACGAAAGGTCGGACGTTCTACTCCACGCGTCAGTCTTTTCTTGAACTATTTTTCTTTCTTGCGTTTTCAAACATATACATACGTATTAATATACGGTGATTGACGCCGACACGAACGAAAAAAATCGGTCGAGAGTGTCCACATATTTGCTATTGCAATCAAAATTAAACAAAAAAATCAACGTCTTACTGTATATGAGGGACAAATTATTCAAGTTCCAATACAGGAGTCATTCTGTTTGTGCACGGCATTTTAAACTGACTTATAGAGATGACAGAAAACTGCGGAGGGCAAACGTGTTTGCAGCAGATAACAAATAAGGAAGTGTACGTTCCAAGGCACAAAACATGTTTTAGGCGAGGATGGAGCAAACAGGAATGTATCATCAAGCATCCGCTTAGCTAACTGTTCGTAGAATGGGTGAAAACTGCGCTATATTGTATTCTTATAACGTGTGGTCATGCAAGCGTGGGGTACACTGAGAGATGCTTCAACGCGGGACTAAGTAAACAGTTGTTCAGCGTGAAAGGTTGCCCGAGCACACATTTCGCTATACATTGTCAGGATTGTGGTTGCACACCTCAGCATAGGAGCGCTAGCATTTTCTTAAAATAGCAGAATAAAATAACGACCTCAATCGTAAAGGTATATTGTATTAACAAACTGAAACGAGCTTTCATCAGTTATCTATTCATTGCTCTATTGAACAAAAAAATTGAAACCTTTTATCATACCCATTAGGTATATTTTTTTATCTTTCCTGATTGTTTGTTAGAAGTGGTGTGCGTGTTCTTAGTATTCAGAATGAAGGCTGTTTTTTTTTTGGTGCCAGAACAAACACAAAATCGTTGCCTGATATGTCAAAAGGGGGGCTTGCAAAATTACCATGTCACTTTACTCAATAACTGCAGAGCTTACTTGAAGCGCACACTTCCGGACTTGTCAACAGGAGCTTTCCAGACGAAGTCCACGTTCATCTTCTTGTTGTTATTCTCGTGGGTTGCACCAGAGCACAACGGTATCGGCTTGTAGTTGGGTCCCGGCAAGAAGCGGCCGACGTCCTCACCTTGATCACCCAAAGCCTTCACCAAGAAGCCCCTGTGGTGCGAACTCTTTGCGAGAAGTTGTACTGCAGCATTCAGGAAAAAAAAGAAAAACATGTTCCCTGTACTTATAGAACCGACGAGCGAAGCTACGTAGCGATAACACGCAAATGACTATGCGTCTCATCTCGCTGCGGGGTTTTATGAAGGCCTAATTACATACTTTGGCCGCAAATAATACAAACACAAATAACAGGAACACACAACAAGAAGCACAAGTGGCACTTCTAACTAAAGCAGACTGATTGCAAACCCAGACCAAAGTAACAACATGCAGACATGCGCAATTTTCACACAGCCTTACGCAATCCAGCTATCGAAGAATCTCGTCTGCGATACGTACAACGTCAGCGATGTGTCGCTCATACACCTTTTTCTTTTTTTTTATTGTTATAGGCTTCCATCAACTCAGACACAGTTTTATACCTACCTAGAATCGTAAACTATTTCAAACACGGTGCAAACCAGCAGGCTTTCCAATGCATAACAAAATGCACAAAGCCAGCCATCATTACTCTGAATTTATGTTGCCTAATCCGGTATTTATTACAGCGCACGGTGATCTCGATGTACGCGTAGCCACAAGAACGAAGCATTTCATAAACCACGCTTTGCCACATTTCCCGTACGTCGTCTCATGTTTCTTGCTGCATCCCTGACGGCTCGCCTTCACCCACCGAGCAGTTTTCGTGCACAGCAGAGCCACAAGCACTGCAATAATTTACATAACTACTCGACCTACGTTCAGCTTCCTTTCCAAGCTACTTAGAATAGGTGCACGGATTGCGCAGTTTGTTCGAAACGCCTCCCAAAACCAGCCAACTTTGTCTGAGCCGCTGACGTTCTTGTAAATGAAAAACGTGGAGTGATACTGGCTCAAGTTTGTCCAGAAAACTGCCTTCCGAGCAAACGTCGCGCAGGCCAGCCTTTACCATATGGTTCTAGTGTTATGACTATATACAACCAAATATTGACCAAGGGGGGTTGCTTAGAGCTAGAGGCTGTTTGCAGGAACTTTATGGTACAAAGGAGCTTAAACACGCGATCCTATTACCTAACGACCATGTGTTTACGACGTTTTTGATATTAACGACACATCACCTTTTACATTACGGAGTGCAAGTTACTGTTCTGAACCTCTGACAAAGGTTTTGGATTTTGAGAAAAACAGTTTTATTTTACACTTAAGTTGCACATTGTGATAAGTGAAGTGCGCGTTTCGTGAAGTGCGCGAGTGTAACCAGTGCTTGGTTTAAAATGTGCGCGAGTGCACCAGCATAGGAATGAAGACGATGACGACCGATGGTGTGTACGCGCGCTTTCGCGATGTATTCGGTGAAGAAGACGATGGGCAGACGAGGCGCGTGAAGTTCGGACCAATGAGAGGCTCTCACGCTGGTTTGGAAGAAGCCCGAAAGAAGAACGGGGCATACGTGGCCGGGACGCGACGGAGGCAAGCAGGCTACCAGGGCGCGGGGGTGGCGGCCGAGTTCCTGAGGCAAGGCTGCTGCGGGCTCCCACCTGGTCGGGCACCCGAGCATCATCTATCGTCTGGCGTTGGCCAGGCCGCTCTTCGTCTGGCGTTGGCCAGGCCGCTCGTCGTCTGGCGTTGGCCAGGCCGCTCGTTGTTTGGCGTTGGCCAGGCTTCTCACCATCTGGCTTTGGCCAGGCTCGTCCCGTTTCGAGGGCTACGTCCCAGCGTCGGAGGACGAACGCTGAGAGGTCACTGACCTTGGTGCGCCCGGAGCTACCTTCAACCCGAGCAACGCTTGGACCTCTGATCTACCTTGTCTGCACCCCATCGCATCAACCTTCGCCGTCTACAAGAGTGTCGCGACCGAACGGTGACAGTCGCTTTTGCTATTGCGGAACTTACGCATCCTTAGCATTTCGCGGTCATTAGGTTGATTTCTCCTAAAACTTGTGTGCTTTGTTTGTTTTTCCTCTTATTCCTTTCTGTTTATCTAGTTTATTGAAAATATATTTAGTTGTTTTTCTTGTGTGCATAAACGGTCTCGTGTTCTCTTTACCGATGTGGGTTTTCTCATCGGTTTGTATGCACAAGAACCTACACGAGAGCTTGTGGGTTGACTAGCCTCGTGACAATTGGCGTCCGCTACGACAGGACGAGATTGTTTATGCAATTAAGGTTTTTACAGAAGGAGAGAAAATGACTACGTCTGATTTAACGGCGTTAGCGATACGCATGGGGCTAGAGGGCGATGAGTTGAAGGCATGGATTGATGAGCGTGAGGCACGAGCTCGCGAAGAAAGGGCAGCTGAGCGAGAGGCAAGAAAGGAGAGGATGGAACAGGCGGAGTTGGAACGAAAACTGGAGGCCGAATGCCAGAAGACGATTCAACTACGTCTTCAACTTGCTGAGGTGGAAGGGGCCAGGAGATCCGCGGCGTCGGACCATGGTCGACAGGTGCGAGAAACGTGTAACGTTAACCCGCACAATTTCATACCCGGACTTAATGAAAACCGGGATGACCTTGATGCTTATCTCAAGAGATTTGAGAATGTGGCCACCGGTCAGGAATGGCCTAAGGATAAGTGGGCCACGGCACTGAGTCTGTGTTTGAGCGGAGAAGCTCTCAAAGTATTTGGTCGCTTGTCTCCAGAAGAGGCTTTTGACTACGAGAAAGCCAAGTTAGCATTACTGCAGCGTTTTCGTTTCACGGCGGAGGGCTACCGGGAGAAGTTCCGGCATAGCAGACCTCAAGATGGAGAAACAGGCAAGCAGTATGCAACCAGGTGGGCAAGTTCTTTCGACAGATGGGTGGAGATGTCCAAGACAGCAAAAGAATATTCGTCTGTTCGAGATCTCATAGTAGCTGAACAGTTTATCAATCAATGCCATAACCGCGTGGCGCTTTTCCTACGTGAGAAAAAATGTCGTAAGCTAGATGAAATGGCCGAGGCTGCGGACAATTTTTTAGAGGCCCAACGACAGTCAAAGTTGTTGGTTTTTCGCGACAAAACGGAGAACGGTGCCGCAGGAAACTGCGGAAGTACAGCGGGGAAGTCTCCCACTCGATGTTTTGTCTGTGATAAAACAGGTCACAGGGCAGCAGAGTGTCGTGCTCGGACAAGATTAAACTGACACTACTGTCGCAAAATGGGGCATGATATTAATGTATGTACCAGAAAGCAGAACGTCACGAAGAGGACTTCTTGTATCTTGTCGCCAGAGGAAAAGGCAGAGGTAGTGAATGATATACCTGCGGACAAGCAGGGGGAGAATATGACCAGTTCGGTAAATACGCAGCCAAAGTCAGAAAAACATCCGATGCCAGTGCTGCAGGGCATTATATTCGGCCAAGCTGCTTTCGTCCTACGGGATACAGGAAGCAATACAATGGTGGTTCTGCGTTCTTTGGTGCGAGATGAAGCACTGACAGGAACCACGACGGCCTTGTTCTTAGCAGACGGGAGCCGAATCACGGTACCAGATGCGAAGGTGGAGATTTTTTCGCCATATTTTTCAGGCACGTGTATCGTGAAATGAATGTCCTCCCCGCTATGACATCATCGTTGGCAATGTGCCAGGATCTCGTGCTGCTGATGACCCTGACAAGAAATGGAAAGAAAAACTGGCTGAAGGGAACTTCACTCCGAACGGCGTAGCCGAGACCTTGTATAAGAAGAAAGAAGACCATCGTTTAAAGGCATCACTTGGTAGTATGAAGAGCACAAGCGTCCGGCCGGATTCAGCTGCAGTTAGCATCAGAAGTTTGAAGATGAACAGGAGGGAGCTCGAGAAAGCCCAAGCAGAAGACAAGACCCTGGAAGCTTGCAGGGACAAAGTAGGGCAGGTTTTTTATGGCAGAGAATCGACCCAGTATTCCTTTGTCATGGAGAAGTCATTGTTGTATCGAAATTACCGACTATCCTCTGGCAAATTGATACAGCAGGTCGTAGTCCCTCTCTAGCTGCGAAGTCAAGTGTTGAAGATGGCCCATGAGAGTTTAATGTCCGGGCATCAAGGAGTAACAAGAACGATTGATCGGGTGATAGGTTCATTCGATTGGCCAGGGGTCCAGGAAGAGATTAAAAGATACGTGCGGTCCTGTGACACGTGCCAAAGAATGTATTCAAAGCACAAAGTAGGAAAGGCTCCTCTTGGGAAAATGCCCCTCACTGACACTCCTTTTGAGCGCGGGGCCGTGGACATTATGGACCCTTAAAGCCGGTCTCAAATAGGGGCAAGAGATACATACTGACCATGGTCGATTTCGCTACGCGCTATCCTGACGCCATTGCTTTGCCGGCGATTGACTCCGCGACTGTGACAGACGGGTTGGTCGAAATGTTTTCCCGCGTTGGATTTCCCCGCCAAATCCTGTACGATCAGGCATCGTGCTTCACGTCGGACCTGATGAGAGAAGTAAACGATCTTTTGGCAATCAAACATCTGAGTTCGACGCCCTATCATCCCATGTGCAATGGTTTCGTAGAGCGATTTAATGGGACTTTGAAACAAATGCTGCGCAAGCTATGCCAAGAGGATCCAAAATCATGGGATCGATTGCTTGCACCACTTCTATTTGCATATCGAGGAGTTCCTGAGGCCAGCATGGGGTTCTCTCCTTTCGAACTCATTTACGGGAGATACGTCCGAGGACCACTCAACTTGTTAAAGGAGCTGTGGACTGGAGAAAACATCGAAGAGGAGGTGAAGACGACCTATGTATATGTCCTCGATCTCCGGGATCGTCTGGAAAGAACGCTAAAATTAGCCCATGAGAACCTGATACGAGCGAAAACGACTGAAAAATATCACTATGATCCGAAGAGCAAGAGCCGTCAGCTGAAAGTTGGAGACCGAGCTTTTATTTTGCTTCCTACAACAGCTAATAGGTTGTTGATGGAATGGAAAGGGCCGTTTCCGGTCATTGGGAAAAAGGGCGACTACGGCTATTGGCTGGACTTGGGGCATGACGCCAAACTTTTCCATATTAATATGTTAAAACGATATGAAGACCGGCAGCCAGACACAATTCCACAAACAGCATCTTTTGTG